TTTCTTTGGTTAAATTTGCAAGTGGTCTGTCGATTCTGTTTACCCTTTCAAAGAACCAACTTTTACAGTATTAATTTTTTCCATAGTTTTCTTAATTTCCCTCTCCTGAATCTCAGCCCTAATTTTTATAATTTCTTTTCTTTTGCTATTAGTAGGATTGTCCTGCTGACTCTGCTCTAGTTGTAAATTTTGTGCAATCATGAGTGTTTCTTCCTTTCTTAGGTATGCATGTATTGCTATGAAACTTCCTCTGATAACTGCCTTTGCTGTGTCCCATAAGTTTCGGTATGTCGTGTGCTCATTCTCATTGGTTTCTAGAAATTTCCTAATTTCATCTCTGATCTGTGCCAGTACACACTCCTTTTGCAGTAGAGAGTTATTCATCCTCTGATTGTTTGCTCTTGTTTTCTTCATCTTCTTTTTGTTGATTTCCAGCCTTATGGCACAGTGGTCAGATAGAGAGGTCTGTATGATATCAATGTGTTTACGTTTATGTAGATTTGCCTTATGTCCCAGCATGTGGTCTACCTTCAAATATGTGCCTTGTGGGCTTGAGAAGAATGTGAATTTTTTGTATTTGGATGAAAAGCTCTGTAAATATCGATCAGGTCAAATAGTCTAATTGTTGTGTTTAGATCTACAGCCTCCTTGTTGAGTTTTCTTTTCCTGTGATCTATCTTTCTCAGAGAGTGGTGTATTGAAGTCATCCACTGTAATCGTTGAGGCTGTGATTTCTTTTTCACCTTTTGGAGTGTTTGGTTGACGTATTCAGCAGGACTCTCATTCAGGGACTATATGTTGACAATGCTTAGTGGTTCTTTGGCTACCATTCCCTTGAGCATTATATATTGTCCCTCCTTATCTCTTTTTATGGTTTTCACTTTGAGGTCAATTTTATCCGAGATTAGGATTGCAACCATGCTTTTTTTGAATTGTTGTTTGCTTGATATGCCTCTCACCAGCCTTTGATTCTCAGCCTACTTTTGTCTGTAGCCTTGAGATGTGTCTACTGTAGGCAGAAGATTGATGGGTTGTGTTTTCTAAGCCAGTCTGCTAGTATCAGTCTTTTAATGCCTGAGTTCAGGCCATTGATATTCAGGGTTATTATCTCCATCTGCAAACTCTGTGATGTCATCTTATACCTTTTGTGTTGGGTGTTTTCCTACTTTCCTTTCTCATTAGTGTGTTGTGCATGTGTGTGTGTGTGTGCGTGTGTGTATCATTCTTGACTTCTGTACATCTTTAAGCCAATGCTATCTTGGGGTCTGTTTTCTCTTTGTTGCCCTCTGGGTGAGGTTGTTCTATGTGATGGTCTCTTATTTATGCTTGGTGAGTGTTGTTCTTCTGCCCATACTGGGTTGGCAAGTCTTTTGTAGGGCTGGGTTTCTTCTGACGTATTCTTTGAGTTTTTCCTTGTCTGGAAGACTCTTACTTCTCCATCTGTCTTGATCGATAATTTGGCTGGGTAGAGTATTCTTGGGTTTGCATTGTTTTCCTTCAATTTTTGGAATATGTTACTCCACTCTTTCCTCTTCTTCATAGTTTCTGCTGACAGGTCTGAGCATATTCTTATTTGGGAAACTTTATATGTGATTGCTTGTTTTTCCCTAGTGCTCTCAGGATTTTCTCCTTTTCCTCAAAGTTGGATAGTTTAACTATTATGTGTCTTGGTGACTTCTTCTTGGGATTCAGTCTAGCTGGTGTTCTTTCAGCCTCCTGAATGGTTGCCTGGTTTTCATTCATTAAGCTGGGGAAGTTTTCCTCCAAGAATTCTCTCACCATTGTTGCAGATGACTTCTTTGTTGTGCCTTCCTCCTGTAAGCCAATAATGCTAATGCTGTTCCACTTCATAGCATCAGACATAGCTCTTAAGTTTTCTTCAGCTTCTCTGATGATCTTATTAGATTTTTGTTCGCGTTTTGTTAAAGTCTGCTTGGCTGTCCTCCAAGTCACTGATGCAGTTCTGTCCTTCGTCCAGTCGATTCTTGAGGTCCATGTTTCTGCTACTGGTTTTTGTTATCTCCTCCCTAAGCTCTTGTATTTCCCTTTGGTGTATGCACTTCATCTCCTCTATCATTTTATCCTTTTTCTGTATTGTTTCCCTCATATCCTGTATTACTCCAAGCAGCATTCTGAAAATTTCTTTGTGTGGTAGCTCAATGTCTGCTTCTTCTATGCATGTCGTTATGTTTGGGACATCTTCTGCCATTGCCTTTTGTTTCTCATGTTTTTGTTTTTTGTTGTTGAGGTCGTTGGGCTGATGGCTGTTTGTCTTGCATTGTGTTAGAGGAGCCAGGTGCCATTCTCCAGGGAGTCAAAGAGCACTGGCTCTCTCTGGGATATTTGTAGGAATGCTTATTTGAACTGCCTACCGCTAATTTCACTATGGAATTAACCTACCACTTTATCCTCTTGTGGCTTCCCTATCAGGGGAATGCCCAAGAAGGCTGGTGGGTTGCCTGCTTTCATGTTGCGGAGGTTGGGCAGAGGTTCCTGCAACAGTTTGGAATGTTGAGGAGTGTTGGCAGAGGTGCCTTAGGGCCCCAGGCACACAGGCAGGAATTCCCCAGTAAGAAGTTGGGCAGAGCTTCCAGTGGTGGATGTCAGCAGGGCTTTCCCCTGCCTCAGGCTAGCTGCACAGGGTGGAGCTCACCTAGCGGGGTGTGGTGCAGGCGTAAATGCCCTAGGCTAAGGGGAGTGATCTGGAGGTCAGCAGTGGAGTGTGAGAGAACAGGAAAGAAACAAAAGGAGAAAAAAATTAAAGTAAGCCCGCTGAGAGTTTTGCGGGTATATAGTGAAGAGAGGGAAACAAAAGCAACAATGTAGTTGAGTCCAGATCCCTGCCCGTGGTACTGCAAGGGTTTAGTCCCTGCCTCGAGGTTGCAGCAGCAAGCTGTGGCTGTGTTGAGAAAAATCCCCTGCACAGCCCTCCATGACTGTGGGCGGATATAGAGAAGAGATGGAAATAAAAGTAACAATGTAGCTGAATCCTGATCCCTGCCCATGGAGCTGCAAGTGTCCAGTCCCTTCCCCGAGGCAGGCAGCGGCAAACTGTGGCTGTGTTGAGACCAAACCCTCCTACAGGCTCCAAATGGTCCTGGCTCTGGCAGAGACAGTGGAAGGGCGAAGGTCAAGCCCCAGCCGGCCTCCACTGAGGTAAACCAAACATCCCCAGCTCCTCAAAACTCCATGGGTCTTTACATACTTATCTTTATGATGCTCCTCCTGCATTCCAGCAGTGTTGATTTCCCTCTAAGCAACTCTCCTGGGCTGAATTCTGCAGAGTCCCTCTGGTATGTGTCACTCCGTTGCCATCTTCCTGGAAGTCTTCGTCTTTTGATCTCTTGACTGTTGCTTCCACAAGCACTGATTGTGGATCCAAATGAGACAAAATCCTGAACAACTTCAACCTTTTCTCCATTTATCATGATGTTACCTCTTGGTCCATGTATGAAGATTTTGGTCTTCCTTAACTTGAGTTGTAATCCATACTGAAGGGTTTAATCCTTGATCTTCAACAGCAAGTGCTTCAATTCCTCCTCACTTTCAGCAAAAAGGACTTTGTCATCTGCATTCTGCACGTTGTTAATAAGTCTTCCCCTCATCGCGAGGCCATATTCTTCTTCATCCAGTGTCTCTGCCACTAGCAGTCAAACGTAGTTTCCTCCTACACAGATGCTTGTTGCAGCACTGCTTTAAAAGTGAGGAACAATCCTAGCTTCCTAGCTTCAAATTTCACCCCAGTACATGGGAACTCGTACATTGACCCATGTGTTTCCTAGAGAAACTTGAACTTGGCCTCACATAAACACATTCCATACTCAGCCCTCGTTGCTGCATAACAAAACTTGTAATGCAAATATTTTCATTAAACTTCTGGAAGTTTAAACACATGAGATAAACAAACAGTAAATCATACTCAGCCCAATTATATCAACAAAAATTTGGAAATGGCTGTGACAGAGTGAAAAAAAGTTCAATTCTCATCTAACATTGGGAAATAAATTGATAGCATTTCATTCATACTATAAAAGGAAAGCCATTGCAACTAATTGATTCCAACTAATAGCAACTCTATTAATTAGAATGATAACATTTCATTCATAATGTAAAAGGAAACCCAATTAATTCCAACTAATAGCAACTAATAGGACAGAGTAAAATGGTCCTGCAGGTGTCCAAGGGTGTAAATATGTTGGAAGGAGACTGACACATCTTTCTCCCAGGGAGTGGCTGGTAGATTTGAACTAATGACGTTTCTGTTTGTTCCTAATTGCTTTAAACACTGTATCACCAGGGTTCCCCATTCCATTAACACTACTGATAATTATATGAAGTGTCCTTTTTAATTCTATTTAATCTTGTTTATTCTTTTATAATTTAAAGAAAACCTCTAATAAAATTGATAATATGATGTGCTTCCTCAAAATCATTAGGAGATAGAGAGGGCAAAGAAAACAGCATCCATACTAATGGTCTACAGACGCTGAATGACAGAATATGCAAAATAATTCTGTGTACATACTACTAGTCCAGTTCTTTTTTCTAGTGCTTGATGGGAAGCTGGGCGGGCTTAGGAGGTGGGGCCTTCTAAACAGAGAATCTGCTTCAAGCAGTATGGACAGGCTGTTCTCTCGCTCGTTCCCCAACCAGATCCAGATGCTCATGCTCAGCCTCCTTATTGGTGAGTCGGGGAATTGCTGGGGCTGCTGCTCCAGTTGAGCCTGAGAACGGGTGAAGGGCTTTGGTGTGAAGGAGACTGGCATGCAGCTATGGCACCAACATCCCTGGTTTTACTCTCCTGATTCCTCAAGTATATTTGAGAGGTGGGGGGTGGGGTGGTAAAGAGGACACAGGGGCTTTTAGGAAGGCTTTTGTGATAGATATGCTTCCATATAGATTCATAACCCCCACACCCCTACTTCAAAAGACAGGCTTTTCCTCTGCTTGCATGACTACTGCAGCTGTGAATTGCCCTCAGACGGTCTCAGCCTTTGTTTCCTGTTGCTCTGTCAGAGATAATCTCTTTTCTTTATGCCCCGCCCACCTTCAGCCTTCTTCCTTCCCATGTTGCCAGGCTGAGCAGGGGGTGTGTGCTGTGAGAGAGGGGTGAGGGCGAGTGGCCTCACTACGGCTGGTGTCGTCCCGTGGCCCTCCTACAAAGAGCCATACACAATCCTTAGTAATGTGAATTATCAATTTTAATCATAGAGTAATGTAATACAGATGGTTGTAAATTGCTTAAAGATACTATTTCTTAAATCATATGAATACACAACAAAATTGCTTTTATAAATCTTTCCACCCTGCATTATAATATTCTAGATTACAGCATGAGTAATACTTGGAACTGAGTGGAAGTTATTCTTATTTTTTAATCGTTTCCTCTAATTGCTACGTAATTCTCAAAGTTATTGATATCAGTTCACCTATACTACTTGCCATAATAATTATAGCTAAAACACATTTTGACAGAATTAACTCCTTCATGCTTATAATGGATGCGTTGTTGAAGTGTCCCTCTATTTGGAGAATGATGGCAGCTCTGGCCTGAGTGCATTAGAGGGTTCAAAAATAAATCAGCACAGAGTTTTAGCCTTGTTGGTGTATTGATACATGTAACCCGGGCTTATGAAAAAAGTTCTTGTTCTTATTAATAACTATAGGGCTAGTTTACTAAAAAGAATATATTTCTGCTGAAACACGGTACACACATTTTATAGACAACCATTTTGATGTCACCCCTTTGTCAGTGTCACCCAGTATCATCTGTACCCCCCGAGGGATGCCACTGGCCATGGAAGCCTCCCAGCGTCCACTCCCAGAATGGTGAACTCTGGGGCTTTCCACAGAGGTCAGGGTGGAAAGGGAGCTGGACCATCATCTCTCATCTGCTATTTACTTTCATGTGTAGCTACAAGCTGTTTCCAAGTTGGTCACGGTGATCATTGTGGGCAGGGGGATGTATATAGTGGATGCAGCATGGTGTGGATTGGACACCTGTCCTGTGTCCTGCCCCCCTGCCCCGTCCACAAAAACCTCATTATGATAAAAAGAGATTGTAATGCAGATTCACTAGGCTCCTGTTCTCATTCTGCCACATCCTGACCGTTAAATTGTTGCCAAATTTTGTCGACCCGATGGCAGACCGTACATAATTTTCTCTGTTAAAAGAATGGACATAATAATGCCTAATTTGAGGAGTAATTTGGAAGCTTTATTAAGGAAATAGAGCGTATTCCTTCCAGTGTCTGACATAGGGACCTGAGTTATGTTTTTTCCTGCAGGTAATGTTTTACTTTTCTATCTTGATGGAAAATTTGCAAATTACACACTGTAAAATAAATTTGCAAAAGTTATGCTTCTTTATTTCATAATAACTTTATCTTTCTTCAGCTGCGGGCAACCATAACAGTCTTCTTTAGGAACAAATGGGGTGGTGACAGCACAGGGGACATGCACTTCCCCATTCTTTCCCTCTCACCACCTCCTACACTATTAAATTAACACTAAAAAATTGCTATTACTCAGTATTGCCCACTGGGCAGTGTAAGAGGCACCACTGTTAACACTTTCAAAAAATGTATTCCCTCTTACAAGTCAGTCAGAGAAATAGTAGCCCTGTTGTTGACAGTTGAGCAAGGTTATGAATAGCTAGGAATGAAAGATAAATCAAACAAATGCAAATTAGGAAAACAGAAGCCCTGGTGGCACTCCTGAGTCAGACAGCAGTGGGCAGTTCAAAGCCATGAGCCCTTCCTAGAGAGGAAGATGAGGCTGTTTGCTTCAGTGAATATTTGCAGCCTCAGAAGCCATATGTAGGTTTGCTATGAGCCAGAATTGATATGATATAGCAGTAGGTGGATAATATTTAGCTTATTAAATAAACATGAAAAAAATGAGATTATCCAGTATATCCCGCAGGACAGTGTTTTGACCACTTTCATGTTCTATAGGCAGTTTTTAAAATGAATCAAAAGCTTCTTAGTAGTTCATCTTATGTGTCTAAACATTTGAAATATTTGTACCCTTACGGTTCAACCCTAAGGAAAGACTTTAATAAGCAGGAAAAGCTTATGGATCAAGATATGCATTTCAGTCTACTTGAAGTTAAAAATACCTTGGAACTCAATGAACTGGCAAATTAAAGATGGGCAAGTGACAATCTTCTGGTGATAATGATGAGGGCTGTAGGTAAGCGGTGCTGTCTGGCGACTGAGGACGTGTTCTGGAACTGAGACGGTACAAAGGGATTATTTAGGAAGTGATGGGAATAAACAAATGTTGAACATCAACGTGCAAGGTCAATATTAGGACTGCTGCGTGCCTTACCTTGCTTCATCTTCACACGCCCTATGCCATGAGTAGGGTTGGGAAGTACAGTGAGGAGATAGATACCAAGACAAGGGAAGACCCCCTTTGAGCACTCAGACCCCCTGAAAAAGTTGCAAACCTTACTTTACAAGTCCTCTGGTTCTCACTTGAGACAATCAAGACCCAGCGGGGCATTTAACTTGCCTGGTTGGCAGAGCAAGTAAATATCACAGCCATCATCACAGCAAGTACATTTCACAGCCTACTGCAGACAGGTGGACGCCCAGGCTGTGCAGCCAGACCTTCCTAAAGCCTAGATTTCCCTCACTCTCCTCTTCCTCCCCTCTCCACACTCCCACACTCAGCCCTTGATCCTCATGACCAAAGGGTGGATTAACCTTCCCAAACATCCTGCTGATATTTAAAAGGAAACACACTTCTCTTCCAAATTCTGTCCCTCTGCTCCAATCCTGGCCTCTAGGAAAACAACCGGAAACAGCTGTTCCCATCGCCTTCGCTTTCCTATCTCTACTGCAAACTATCCTATCATTTCATGGCTTGTACTGCCAGGTCTGCGGGGTCAAGGATAATTCAGGGAGCCCCTGTTGGTTTGTCCTAAGGTGCTGGTTCCCTCTAAGTTGTCTCCTCGTGCTCCCAGTGCACACCCACTGTTTTTACCATGTTCTTCAGATCACATCCGGGTAGGTGGCAGGGTAATCAGAACCTTCTGCCACCCCCTGCCTCCATCAGCTCTCTTGTTTGTATGCCTTTGAATGCCTAGCAACCACTAAAGGCCGGAAGCCCTTCAGAAAGGAGACACAGCTGTCCCTGTGTGCCTGGAGCTGTTATCAGCCTTAAGCCTGGATGAGTTTGAGGAGCTATACCTGGGCTCCATGGAGTCAGTTTAAAGGGAAGGGAAAGAAGGATGTCCCAGCAGACTGACTCTCAAGGTCCTTTATAACTCTTCAAACACTGATGCAACGAAAACACTTTCTTATAACCTCAGCTTGAATTAAAGCAGAGACAAGCAGCACTGGAGTCATGAAGAAATCATTGTTACTAAGAGCTGAAGTTGAACTAGGTAACTAGGTAATTCTCCACTCCAAGTCTTTACACTTTACACACACACACACACACACACACACACACACACACACGATTATATGTATATATAATTTAGGTACAATACCTATTCCATAAACCATTTTACATGTATGGTTCCATATGTTCATAATGATGTGCAACAATCACCACTATCTATTTCCAAAGGCTTTTCATCATTGCCAACAGACACTTTGTGCCTTTTAAGCATTAACTCCCCACGCTGTCCACTTATCAACCCATGGTAACCACTAATCTACTTTCTGTGTCTATGCATTTGCCTAGTCTAGCTATTTTATATGAGTAGGAGCATGATGTATTATTTGTCCCTTTATGACAGACTTACTTCACTCAACATAATGAATGTTTTAAACATTCATCCAAGTGTTTCAGGACTTTACTCTTTATGGTTCAGTCATACTTCCTTGTATATACATACCACATTTTGTGTATTCATTAATCAGTTGCTAGACATTTGGTTTGCTTGCACCATTTTTTGTGTGCTATTGTGAATAATTCTGCAATGAGCTCATGTACAAACATCTGTTTGTGTTTCTGATTTCAAGAATTCTGGGTACTAGTTACCTCTCACTGCCAGTGAGGTGATTCTGACTCACAGAGACCCGATCGGACTTGGTAGCCGTGCCCTGGAGGGCTTCTTTACGGGAGTAGAGAGGCTGGTGGTTTCTAACTGCTGACCTTGCAGCCCAACATATCACTGCTCCTCAACCAGGACTCCTGTCCTCAGTCACCTAGCACTGCTACCGCAGAGACACCACAGGGGGATGGAGCTAACAAAAGGCATTTATTCTCCCACAGTGTAGGACACCCGAAGCCTGAATTTAGAGTGCTGTCTCTACAAGGGAAGACTTTTCCTCTGTGTCTCCTGGTTCCAGGCAGTTCCCAGGATAGGGACCCTGGGCCCAAAGGACACGCCTCACTCCCAGCTTTTCTTTCTTGGTGGTAGTAGGTCTCTCCTTTTATGTCTTATAAAATAAAAGGTGTTACAGGTCACATCCCTGGAAAACTCACCTTACAAACCAATGAGGATCATGGGCCACCAAAGTTGACTTATATTCTTGGGGGAGCACAGTTCAATCCAGGACAGGCATATATGCTAAAGAATGGACTTGTTGAGTCATGTCGTAATTCTGTGTTTAATATTGTGCAGAGCCACCTCACTGGTTTACATTCCTATCAACAATGAACAAGGAGGGTCAGTATTTTCACATCCTTATCAACACTTGATTTTTCTGAACCTTTTAAATT